CGGCGGGGGCGGACCCGCCGCGCGCCCGCGCCGCCGGCCCTATCTCCTCGACCAGCGTCACCTCACAGAGCTTACACAGCGCGGCGCGCCCACAGAGCTCCGAGGGAGCTCACCGCGCTTCTTACACAGCGCGGCGCGCGCACCGAGCTCCCGGGGAGCTCTCCAAGGTGACGGCAGCGTCAGTCAACACGGCGGCACGTCCAGCGCCACCGACACGAAACGCATCACAGTTTCCACGCAGTCTCAGCTCGAGTCACACCGGACGATGCGTTCACAGTACACGCCGCACCGCACGGAGCACCGTAGACGACGACGCGCGGCGCCAACACGCGTGCGGCGGCGTGCGCGGCGCAGCCGGGACTGACGCGGCGCGGCGCCGCCGCCGCGGCGGACGCGGGCCGACACGGGCGCGCACACGGTCCGCGCGGCCGACGGAGCTCAGTCAGCGGAGCAGAGCGCGACACCGACAGCGGCGCGACGGACGGCCTCTCTCACCACACACCGGTGATCCATCCAGCACTGAGCAGGGCCGAGCCAGCGCGGCTGCCACGGGAGAGCCCGCCGCTGCCGGTGCGAATTTCCGAGTCCAGCGCGGCCCGCCCCGCCCCTGCGGGTCCGGCTCCGTAGTCGGACCGGCCCGGCCCGGCCTCCCAAGGCCGCCTTGACACGCCAGGAGGCCGGCGAAATTCCTCCGGCCGACAGCGTGGATCGCCGCGCCGCCCGAGCGGAGGTGTGTCTCGCGCCTCAAACGTCTGCCAGAGCCCGGTGGGGCGGCTCAATGGACGGAGGGGCGGGGAGGTGAGAGTCCGCGGAACACCGGGATAGAGTCGGAGACACACGGGGACGGCTGCAGCCCAGTCGAAGAGTCACTACCCGCGGGTTGGGCACAGAAATAAGATGCCGAGCGCCGGAACTACAGTTTGGGAGCTGCGGCGGACAGTATCGCCGGGGTCGCACTGCCAGGAACCAGCCTGCAAACTAGCGAGATATCGGACGTAAACAGCAAACCGGCCATCGGCGGGTTAACATTGGGGCCACTGACAGCCCCGTCCGATAAATGATGTGGATTCCGGGAACCCTCGACAGCCCCGGCCACCAGGCGCCGGTGAAGCCCGACCTTATCGGCGAATATAAACAGCGATTTGCTCCTTTGCAAACAGCGAGACGGTGCTTGGCCATCGCGATTACCCAGTGAATCATTAATTTCACAAATGCACAGATGTTCTAACGAAACACGGGCTGCTATTTGAGATAACACGGGGCCATCGGTGGCCATCGGTGCAGCGGGGAGGTCGGCCTGGGTGGGCCTCATTACACCCGTCGCTGCTCCCCGCTCGGCCCCACCGAGTCCACCCTCCGAGCCCCGGCCGGCCGGCTTCACTCCCTATCGCCCCCGCTTCCTTCCGACCGGCCGCGGCTGACTATGAGGCCAAGGGCGCGCCGCCGCCGTCACCCAGCCCGCAAAAACGGCGCAGCAGAGACGGGCGGCGCGCGCCGGTGACAGATACGGCGCGGCCGACGGTCAGGGCGAGCCGGCCGGCCGGCCGGAGAAAGCGGCGCCACTAATTGGCGGTGACCGGGGGACCGGAGCCGTCTCTGCCGAGTCTGTAACGATCGCCCCAGCGCCGATACAGTGGTCGTTACTGACACGAGCCGGGAGGAGCACAATGGTTTCGACCGGACCCCGGCGCCCCGACACCGCCACTTCGGGACCTTTTTTGGCCTTTTCGCTGGTTTAAAACCATGTCGAGTTTAAAATGGGTCGAGACAGTTACGGAACCAGCAGGTCAATGGTCCCATTAACCCGCGCCCTGCTGGGGGGGGGGGTGTTTGAACACCCCCCCCCCCTGTGGTTTTTCGCGAATATCTCAAAAACGGCGGCGCGGAGCGCCGCCGTTTTTGGTACACCTTACCATACATCAATTCTACACATGTTGTGAAAATTTCAGACCAAGGTCATTCAAGGTCAGGTCACCAGGTCACTTGAAGTGACCTCACCTCATAAAAACTTTCAATGTCTGTCATAGCTACACCGAGTGACCGATCGCTTTGAAACTTTCAGCGATTGCTAAGAGCAATAGCATGTACAAAATGTATATCTCAGAATTTTGATATCGATGACCTAAGGTCAGGTCAATTTTGCGACCTCCCCATTATAAGTCAATGGGAGAAAATTGAAATGCGCCTCTTTTGGATGAAAGACATTATAAACACTCCCAAACACCGAATTACAAGTGGTTTAGACACACTGAACTTGAAAATGGTGTCCGTGACCCTTGTTTATGCCCTGAGGTCATCTTAGGTCACGAATGGTATCTAACAGTTTTTCGCAAATAACTTTTGATAGAGGCATGCTAGAGCGATGAAAACGCCTTAGATGTGTTCAGCTCGACGATACGGATCGACTGATATGCAACATGACCCTTTCCGGTCAGGTCATGACCTTGACCTGAGGTCAAATTTTCAAGTTGACCTTTCAAGGTCAAGACATAGTTCATTCGATGCGTCTTGACGAGAGGAACACGATGCCGGTAAAAGTAAGCTCGTACAAGGCTTGGGTCAAAAGTTATTACAGAAAAACTGTTTTCGAAAAAATCGGCTATTTTTGCAGTTTTTGCCCCCTGCAGGCAAAACCGTTGACGTTAGGTCAAATCTGAGAGAATTACTCAGAAAGGGCGTTAATAGGGCTATCGAATGCGCTTTTCCGCGGCGCTGTAGCTCTATTGGTTCCCGAGTTATGCGTTGGCTTCTTGGAAATTTTCGACATTCGACCTGGAAATCGGCGAAATTTTGCCTTCAATGACCTCTGGTGACCTGACCTTTGACCTGACCAAAAAATTGACCGAAGTGATTTCGTCATTATTTTTTACGCTCTTTCGAACGCCGCCTTCCGCGTATCGCTACGTGGCCCACGAGCCGAGTTACAAGGGGGGGTGTTCAAACACCCCCCCCCAGCAGGGCGTGGAAATCCAGGACCCCCAGCAGGGCGCGGGTTAACCTCCTTTATCACCAACGTGCTGGTGAAAAAATAGCCCTCCTATATCAACGGAAATCCTGTCTGCCACAAATGAGAGCGGTGGTAAGTCTTCTTAATATAGAAAAATGCTCATCGCTGAAATTGAATAAGAACCTCCCATCTCTTCACACATCTCCCCAAAACATTGTCCGGCAGTAGCAGCTGCTTTCTGAATGAAGTCGCCACCCCGACTCCACTTCCCGATCAGACTAGTCAGTCGGCCTCGTATGAATACCATCGCCGTCCCATCTCACGACGCCTGGTCCACCGACCACACTGACCAATCGAACAGAGCTACCTCTGCGGACACCGGCAGGGACCTGCCGCCGCGACAGACGGCCGGCTGGGGACGGGCCGTCACGACACAACATTGGCTGGGGACGAACAGTCGCAGGGCAGATGACGGAGGTGATTACCCGTGTCACTTCACCAAATAAACAGCGTGCCTTCCGCAGGCATGACGCCCTCACGATGACGAATAGGTGTCTAGAGCCGTAGCCGTGACGCTATTTCGTGAGGCGTGTTCTTACCGGCCCAGAGCTGCCCATTAGCGGTCCAGACTCTGGCTATATCCTCCAGAGCCAGCAGGACAGAGCTCCCCATCACCAGACGACAGTCGCCACGGGGTCGCCACAGAGTCGCCAACTCGCCACGGGGTCGCCACGGGGCGGTGGTGGCGTCCCCAGCCTCCCCGGACGTTTCACCGACCCCGGGCCGTGTCAGCTCCCGTCCGGTTCACTCGTCACGATAACGGTCACCGTCACACCGTCACGGTGTAACACTGTCACAGAGAGCTACAGCGCAGCACCACCGGCCGTACACCACATCACCACCCGACCCACTGTCCACCGTCAGTCACCAGTGCCGCACCAGTGCCGCACCAGCGCCGCGCGGAGGCTGCTCCCATTGGTACCGGCGCCCGACCGACGCCCAATCACAACACGTCCCACTGATTTCCAGTGACATCCCGGTCACAAACAGACCGTACTCGAGTGCTACATTGTGGAGCTGCACGGAGCGGGCGGCTGTTTATCCAGCTGCTGCAGAGGCGTGAAGTCGATTCGATTTTCCGTCTCCGACGGAAACCTGCACCGGCCATGGTACATGGCACATACAGCCGTCCGATAGAACTGGATCCACTCCGGTCATGGGGTCCCTGTGGTAGGGCTGGATCCAGCACTACCGCCGGGCCCCTGTGATAGCGCCGGATCCACAACTGGCCATGGGTTCTGTGACCAGGAAGTGTCCCTCCTCACTGAGCTGGTTCACGGCCGCCTCAGTCCAACAGAGCCCAGCCTAGAATAGGCCGCCTAGGTCCTGGAGAGCCCAGCTTAGGCCCGCCCCAGTCCTGTGGAGCCCAGCCCCGCCTCAGTTCAACAGGCCAGTCCCCGGGACCCGGCGCGGTCGGGCGGCCCGGCGGCTGAAAGAGCTGCATTATCGTGTCTCTCAGTGAGTCATCGAGCCGCAGACACCCCGGCCGGACGGACGGTGCGACAGGCCCGACCCAGCTCCGTCAGACAGTGCGTCCTGTCCGACCCGGCTCCCAGCTGGACGGCGTTTGAAGCACCGACACAGCTGGCTCGGCCGCTCTCCCCATTTTGACTCATCAACGCCTCACGATCATCACACAGTGCCGCCGCCTCCAAACCGAACAACTACGAGGAAGAAGTGCAGAAATGGCTAAATGGCTCGTGGAAATGGCTAGTATGAGCAGCGCCACACAGAACTGGAGAGCATTTGGAAACTCGAGAAATGAATGCTGGGAACGATGAACGATGAGTGTGGAATTTGTGAACTACTCTCACAGGGAATTCTCGAGCTTGGCAACTCAATGTAACCTCAAAAATCCTGTTTGACAACGCCCAGTCACCTGCTACACCTAATGAGTCTTATCTCATGTTATTGTTGACGGCACCACGCCTCGGCCCGCGGCGCCGCGCTCAAGCATTAGTTGCTGCCACCGCCGCCAGGTGTCGGTACTCACTGGGCCGGGCCTCGGGCGTGGGCGTCTGCACGGCCGCCATGTAGGAGGGCTGCCGGAGCGCGCGGTGCTGGGTTCGACTCCGCAGCGCGGCCGCCATCGACTCCTTGTGCTTCTTCTCCTCGACCTGAGGGTGAGGACAGAAGTCAGCTGAAGTTCGTGGAGAGACCCGTACAGCATATACCAAGCAAGTTCGCCAGCCGACTATGTCATGCAACTAACATACTTATTTAAAAAATGAAAACAATCATTAGGCTGCTTGCTAGAAATTATTTCGGCATAGTTTCGCTCAGAATGCAATATTGCAGGAAACAAAGCAAACAATGAGAATCTTCTCCTAGAAACACCAATAAAGGTCCCTCTCCCGCGGTGAGGCAAGTGTTATAGAAACCTTCTCCACACAGATGCTGGAAGGTTTTTGCACCAATCAAGAGGTCAATGTGAAGGATCGCAAACCGAGCAGTTCCCCACATCCAGCAGCAGTCCCTCCACCCTCCCATCCCCGCCAGCCGCAGACCCCCTCCCTTCCTCCCTTCCCTCGGCATCCGCACCTTTCCGGCGATGATCTCTGCGCTGTTGCGTTTCCTCTCGTTCTCCGGCGAGGCCTCCTGCTCGGCCTCGGAGATTTTGGAGAGCGGCCGTCCGGCGGCGTCCACGGCGCAGAAGGGCCAGCTGCTGGGGGCCGCCGACTCGGCCGGCTCCGGCTCCGGCCGACGGCGCACCGCCTTCTTCTGCGGACCGTCCGCTGCGGGGGGGGGGGGGGGGGGGCAGGTCAGGTCCGGTCAGGTCAGCTGTGAGAGTGCGGAAACACGCCGCCTTCTGCTGCGGACCGTCCGCTGCGGGGGGGGGGGAGAGTCAGGTCAGGGCAGTGTGAATAGAAAATACACCGCCTTCTTCTGCGGACCGTCCGCTGCGGGCGGGGGGGGGGGGGCAGGACAGGTCAGGGCAGGTCAATGGGGTGAGCAGCAATGGGTGATAAAGGAGGTCGCCCTCCAAACATAACACAATTATGAGAAGTAGGCACAGCAATAATGGCCATTCAAACGCATCAGACAAGAGAGGCGGCACGGAGAGGAGCAGCGCAGCACCACCGGGCGCATAGCGCAATAGCAAGGGACCCTACAGAGGGTCCCTCGTTGAGCGGCTCAGAGGGGCGGTACGTACCCCGGTAGGGTCCCTCGTTGAGCGGCTCAGAGGGCTCAGAGGGGCGGTACGTACCCCGGTAGGGCCCCTCGTTGAGAGGCTCGGCGTGCAGTCGCGGCCCGCCGACGATCACCATTCGGTTGCCGATGCCGCTGCGGGGCGGGCGGCGCGGCGCCTCCTCGGCTCCCGACGTCTCTGTGAACGGCGCCGATACCCGTGCAGGTCAGTCACAGGTCAGGGCACAGGTCAAAGGTCAGGGCAAAGGCAGATTCAGGTCAGATCTCAGATCACATTTGGTCTTTTCTGGTCATATTTGATCCGTCTAAGCAAACCCACGTCCCGACTGACCACACCAGGTTAGCGGCAGACAGGCCAGCGGGTATGCTGTCAGAGCTATGTACACACACGTTATCACCACAACCCACTGCCGGCAACTGAGGGTAGGGGTCAGATCGAGGAACTGCGGCGCACAGCCGTCCCAGCCCAGACAGTTGTTACCGCCCGGCAGCCGGTTCCGAGAGCCGCAGACATTTGTACAGCGGAGACACATCACAGAGAGGTGACTACGGGAATTAAGCTCGGCGATATTAATGGTAAATCGACAAAGAAAAACAAGCAGGCCTTATCATATTGGTACTTGGTGAGCTAAGGGTCTCAAATTTCCACGAACAGATACCAAGAACGTAAAGCCTTGCTGATAGCCAACTAAAGGAGCTGGGATACATCAACGGCGCATGCCACTGCCATTGGATACATACACAAACAATAGAACGTAGTATTCTTGGCACCATTAACGAGCCAAACATTCCGAATATGCAACTACGTAATGATTGACTCTAGTTCCTGGTTGTAAACATGTGCAGAGATTGAAACCTAGAGGCATGCGAATGCAGTGTGCATATTTAATGTGGGATTTCAAAACAAACTATTAAACTCGACTTGCATGTCAAATAATAATGTTTGGTCATTCGATAACAATTTATATGTCCATCCCAAACTATGGCTGCCAGCAACATGTTTCACTAACGTAAGAGTTTCATAAGAACTGCTGTCATTGACGTCACTCGGTAGTTTTGACCTTTCGGAGCGCGCAGCACCTATTACATCAAATCCGCCCAAAGAGGCTTACTGGCCGCGCGCTGCTGATTGAATCTATCCGAGCGCTATTCTTGTGGCCAAACAAGACCAGTAAATCCCTCCGAACGTAATCAATAGAGCGATTTTCTCGGCCTCCAGACACTGGCTGATAGCGCAGCCACAAAAGCGTCCACAGTCTGAAATTTCGCCAGACTTTTACAGACACAGCGTTCCCAAGGATACCGTCCTAATAATAGGAAACAGCCTCACAACTACAGCTGCAGTATCACGAAGGACATAAACCCAGCCAAATCACCCCTCACAAATGGGACACGCCGCAAAACTCGTTAGCACGACTTCACAACACACGACCCATGCGACAATGCCAAGTGATCGATGACACTTCAATACTAACAAACCTGTTACGCCCAGCGAGAGCAGACATATCTCGCAGAGGGCACATTAATATCCCTCTCCAATCAGCCACAGACGGGCATGCATTAGCGGGAGCATTAGTGGGTCAGCGGCAGCGGGCGGGGCCGTGCAGTAGGGCGGGGGGGGGGGGGGGGTCATAACGGGAAGGACGGTCAATGCCGGGATAATAACCCGGACCTCTGACGTCCAATCAGCGGCCGGCCAGTCAATAACCCAATGATGAGCCGGACACGACCGTCGCCGACTCGTCGCCGGCTCTGGCTCAGCGTCCGGGACAGCGGCAGCGACGCGCTACGCGGTGAGATGAGGACAGGAGCGGGGAACACGGACGGAGACAGGGGGGGGGGGGGGATACGGACGGACGGACGGACAGACAAACCGACTTTAGGTGTTGTAACGGAAAGTACAGATGCATTGCGCATGTTTTGAAGCCGCGGGACAGTTCAGACGTCCAACATGCAGGAAGTATGTGAGGAGATATCTAGGATCCAGATCCGATCCGAGAGGAGACACGATCGGAAAAAAAACACTAATCGGTTAAAACACTGATGGCGGAGCAGGACAGATGAACTCAGCGTGATCGGCGCATACATGCGAAAACGTTCACACTTTTTAGTCTGCTGCGCATCCGGCTTTAGCCTGCAACAAGGAACACACTTGAGCCGTGCGTGTTGTTACAGGTCACGGCCGCCGCAGATAATTCAGGCGGCGGAATACACTTGAAGACTTTGATTTTTACTAAAGTCGAGCACAACACTTGGTCGCATTCTCTACAGAGTCGCCACTGGAGAGGCAGGCTGAAATATCCGTGGACATTCAAAACCCATCCCACAGTTGCCATTGCGGACAGTGCTGCGTTTGGTTATCAAAGCGTCACGGTGGGTTAAGTAGCTCTGGGAGGCGTTATCAGCATACAGCGTTACGAAGCGGCGCTGCCGCAGCCTGCGAGCGGCGTCTGAGCCCAGTACCAGACCGGGCGAAGCCCCCGAGCTCCCCCTACTACCCCGTCCCTCCGCGTACTGAGCAGAATCTCCAGGCTGGAGACGAAGCGGTCGCCGTCGCAGCTGAAGGAGCGCCGGTAGCGCTGACGCGGCTCGGGCGCGCCGGTCGGCCGCCGCTGCACGCCACTGCACGTAACGTCCAGCTCCGGGTCGGACATGACGCTCTGCAGCCGGTGTCCTGCAGGGGGCGGCCGGCGGCGGCCAGAGCGGTCACACCAGGTCCGCGGCGCGCCCGGGGAGGCCGGGGGCACAGCGCACCGACCACGGACGGTCCACAGTGGACGGACGGGCGGGGGACCCATAACCGACAGACCGACAAGCAGATCGAATCTACAGTACACACGGACTTCAAGCCAAGCGGCACGAACTAATACACGAACCAAGGGCATTGGGAATATACTGCATATGTGCAACGCACGATAAACGAAATTATATGCACAAAAGTCGTGACCAAATAGAACGAAACCCAAGACATCGCACGATAACGAAACCGACCAACTAAAAACGTACAACTTGAAAACATGCGCGCTAGTTTAACTCGGAATAAGTACGTGAGAGGGACGTCCGAACAAACCCAGGCCAACGGACAGACGGGCCAGAAGTGTCCCAGCACCACCGCCCGCCGGCCTCGGTGAGCCCCGGGCGCCGGCAGCGCCACCTACCGTAATCAGAGGCGTCCGGGTCGCGCTCGAACTCGTCTCGGCGCCGGCGCACGCTGGCGCGCTTGCCGGGCTCGGCGATCAGGCTCAGCTCACTCCGGTAGCCACTAGGTCCAGAGAAGGTGTCGTTGTCGACGCAGCCTGTCTCGAACTGCCGGGCGCGCTTGGAGACGATGTGCGTGCGGTGGTCGGGCGGCGGCACCTTGGCGCGGGGCACCTGGGTCACGGCGTCGTACTGGACGTACTCGGGCGCGCCCGAGGAGGAGGAGGCCGACTCGGGGCCCGAGTAGGGCCGCGCCGTGGCGTTGGGCACGCCCGCCGGCAGCGAGCTCAGGCTGTCCGTGCTCGAGCTGACCGAGAGCGAGGTGCCGCGCGGCGCCGGGAACACGGGCGGCTGGCCGGCGCGGCCCGCCGGCGCCGTGGCCGGCTCGCCGCGCTGCCAGCGCCGGCGCCGCTCCTGCTCGCCGGCCGGCCGCAGCCGGGGCGCGCCGCCGGCCGGCGCCGCCGACGCCTCGGGGGGCCACGGCGGGCGCGGGAAGCGGGCCGGGTTGACGTGGTACTCGCGGACGACGGGCGTCTGCGGCTGGGCGGCCGGCCACTGCTGCGCCGGCTGCCGCAGGAACTGCTGCTTCGTCTCCACGTCCTTGAGGATGCGCGACACGACCGGGTCGCTGGTGTCGGCGTGCTCGCTGCCCAGACCGCTGGCCGCGCTACCGCTCATCGAGGGCGGCATCTGCAGCGACGGCATGGAGAGGGTGGACGGACGGCGGGACGAGCCGGACCGCTCGCCGTTCAGGCTGGCGCTGTCGTCCGAGGTGAGGTGCGGCGTGGCCACGGCTACGGCCGCCTGGCTGAGCGCGCCCAGCGGCAGCGGCGTGCCGCCGGCCGGCCGGTACGGCGGCGGCCGCGGCAGATGCGAGAACGGCTTCATGATGTTCAGGTTGGACGCCGGGTGGTGCGCAAACTCGCTCCAATTCTGCCGGACAGGGGCGCAATACGGTCACAGATCACACCACAAACAGAGCAATACGGTCACACAGTGCACCAGGAACAAAGATACCTGGATGAAAACGGAGTCAGACGTGACGAATAGAGCAATAAGAAAACCGAGGGAAAACTCACGATGGCGCAGCTTTTATCGTCAGAAACGGATCACAATCAGACAGACGATAAATGTTACCAGAAAATACCAAAAACTCGAGTGGAAAGAAAGAAGAATGAAAGGAGAGAGAAATGGACAGAGATGGAGAAGAGAGGAGAAGACAGAGGGACAGGGAGTGAGTGGGGAGGGGGGAAGGGGACATAGCAGGCCGGGCAGCGGGCCAGAGACACCGGGCTCGCGGCGACCCGAGTCGACACGGCGCGCTTTTTACGTTCGTTATAAATCCGCCCGGGGACAGGGCCAGTTTCGGAGCGGGCGCTAGAAATACCGCCACCACTCAACACCTCAGGGAGGGCGGAACAGGACAGACACGAATCAGATACGGCCGGACACCGGGGATATGAGTACATTACTGAATCGTGTTATCTATGACTGAAGCAATAATGAGGAAGGCAGCTTATCGACAAGACACTTTTAGCGGAAGCACACTAAAACGATTTTAGACTTGTGTACACGTGACACAACTCAAATGAAACTTGGGTTTAGTCGTTCTGGGAGAGAGGCTAAATTAGAACAACGCGCGTTCGAAATTCCACAGCGACAACGGCAAGGCCAGATAGACGCGTACCCACAACTCAGCGCACTCTGAGCAGCAGCAGAGGTGGCCAAACTCAACACTGGGCCGACACGACATACCGACACAACTCACACCTCAAAGACACCGGAGCCTGAAACCCAGCCGGCCGGCGCGGCGCTGCGGCGCGCGCCTCTCACGCCCCAGGTGAGACAGACGGCCGACCACATCAGAGGCAGTCGTGCCCGTCACCGGCCGGCGCTAACGACGGCATAAATCCGGCCAACACCGCACGCAGCAGCGGCGCACCGGGTCGAGGGCAAGCGGCACGGGACCGGCGGGACGGGCCCGGAGTTAGGGCGGGGATCGAAGACCAAAACAGGGTCGAAATCGAGGAAAAGTCGTGATATGAGTCTCGCTATTGTGGAAACCTAAAAGAATGGAGGAGTCAAGTCAGGTCATGTAAGTGGGCACATATGACCTGCTTAAAATTGGGGTGGGAGTCGGGGTCGAAGTTGTCACCTCTGCTGAGGCGGAGCTGGCGGCGTCCGGAGGTGACGGGGCTGGCTCCGATGGCATCATGGCGTCTCAGCGCGCCGGGCTGAGACGGGACGGGGCCGGCCAGTCACGGCACACTGAGCTGAGAGTACAGCACACCGGCTCACGGCACAGAGCTGCCGACTTCACCACCGTCCACAGATGCACGCCACCGGCGAGTCCACTCCACTCCACCGATCGTCACCGCGCCTCTCGCCTCTCCCAGACGCGGCCCGGCCTCGTGGCCACCGCGCACGTCCTGCCGCGCGGCCTCAGTCTGTTCAGACGCGCCGCGGTGTCCGCCGACACCCGTCACTCTCCACAGGCTCGGTCCGTAGTCCGTGCAGCCGTACGGCCGAGCCCCGCGCGCCGCCGACTGACCGACCCGCCGCGCCGTCGGCCGCCGTCCCCGGCGGCGCGCGACGGTCCGAGCGTCGACAGGCCACTCCCCCGGCCGCCTCCTCTCCGACGGCGGCGGCGCAGCGGCGGCGGCTATTTTCCGTCCCTGTCCACACCGATAACGGTCGAAGCGCCGGCATCTCTGACCCTGACGTCAGCCGGTGTGGCCAGGTCAGAGAGACGTCTGTCTCTGAGAGTCGCGACAGGAAACGTCTGAGAGTCGCGACAGCAGACGTCTGAGAGTCGCGACAGGACGTCTGCCTCTGAGGGTCGCGACAGGAGACGTCTGAGAGTCGCGACAGGAGACGTCTGCCTCTGAGGGTCGAGACAAGCGCCGCCGCCCGTCGCCGTTGTCAGACTCCGCGTCACTCCGTCGAAATCACGCTCGCCACTCGCGTCCGAACACAAGCACTCGAAACCAGCTCAATGGTTTGAGCTTATGCACACTCCACAACCCTCCAACCAAATCCAGCTCGCAGTTCACGGCGACCAGCCAGCTCCAGCTCCACGTCTCCGACCGCGCGCCCGGTTGGGTCGGAGGACGCCGTGTCGCGGCGGCGGTCGGCGGCGGCGGCGGTTCACGGTCGACGTCGGCCGTCATCCGTCAGCGGCGGCGGGTGACACCTCGGACACGCGCCGTCCACCGTCCGTCGCCACCGTATAAATAGCCGCCTCCGTACGGCGCGCCGCCGGCTAACTATAGGAGCCGGCGCAGACAGCCGCCGCCTCGTGTGTGAAGGCCGCCTCCTCGCGGGCAGGTCGGCCCGCCAGCGCGGTGCGGGAGGGTCACAGGAACAGGTGGGGGTGGGGGCAGTGGGACAGAGAGGTGGGTCGGCATCAAACCGGAGGACGTCTCAGCGGTAACCGCAGGCCGTAAACGGCAGCGGAGGCAGGAAAATCGAGGTGCCGAAGTTATCACAGAGTAGGCACACGCTAAGACACATGTCATGGTCCTTAGATTGACACTTTGTGCGAAGCTATCCTAGTTTACACTCCACAGCCAGAGTATGCTATACTTCACAGGACGCACTTGGAAAAGTCTGGCGGCACATCACATCCCTCCCAGCGCACATAACAACGGTACACTGTTTCAGCAGCCGTGAACCCCGAAAATACATCAGAACCCGACACCGTGGCGGCATCGGTTTCATCATCCTACAGCAGGTCAACAGTTGGCTAGCCACCAGCAGGACGTCCCCTTCCAGCCACCGGCCTGACGCAACGTCTCCCGGCCGCGCGAGCCACGCGAGCTGTCCCGCCGGGCGGACGGACGTCAGGGGGCGTCCCCATGGGTACACCTTGAGCCACGTCATCCCTTACAGTCGGGGTCCCTGAACCAAGACCTCGCAGTCGATTCAGCCTCACGAATGGCCTCTGGCTGTTTTGACCCTTCCCAATAATTTATCCCATCATAGCTGATGCCCGTGCTCTTCTCAGTACACTCCAACACTGGCGTTCGAGCAGGCGGCCCCAGCGTGCCCCCCCCCCCCCCAGCCCCGCCCCGCTGCCGTCGCCGCCGACTTACCCGCTGTATCTCGTCATCGTCCCTGGACTGCACCTTCAGCACCAGCCGCAGCCCGCTCAGCTGCACCTGGTAGACGACGTCGGCGTAGCTGAGGTCCCAGGTCGGCAGGCCGTTCACGTCCACCACACGGTCACCTGAGAGCGCACGGGGTACATACAGGTCACACACAGGTCACCTGAGGGCGCACAGAGAACATACAGGTCACACAGGTCACGCAGGGAGCAGACGGGTCACCCAGAGGCAAACGTCAAGAGTACAGCGCAAATTCACTTGCTGCTCAACACGATCCATGGGACCATTGTCTCCACCCCCAGCAAACTCCCCACTCGGTTCCAAATGTTTACCGCGTCGCACAAGTCCCACGCCGCAGAGGTTAGCACCAAACCCGCGCCGTCCGCAGCGGACGGCCTTGGCAGCCAATACGGAGCGAGGACAGAGGACAGAGGACAGCCATCAGGACGGAGCGGTGCAGAGCGACACAGCGCCTCGCTGAGCCTGACCCGGCCGGCGCAGAACCACACAAACACCGTGGGTCCGTCACGAGAGCCGTTAACCTGACTATGGGAAACGGAACTAGGAGTAAGCATAATACCTAATTAGGACTATTCCTTCGCACCGTCCTAAATCGACATTAAAACAATGAGTGGCCCAACACACGACACCTACGGCAGTTCCCAGCCGCAGGGCTCGCCGCCTGACCTCGTGACCTTGCACGCGCCGGCCGCGGCGCTCCCTTGACCCCGGCCGCGACGTCCCTGTGCGGCGGACCCTTGAGGTCGTAACCCCGTCACCCGTCAGCGGAGGCCGCAGTGGTGGCTGCTCCCGAGACGCTGGCTGATGATCTCATGGGAGAAACGTCCACACTGCTGCCAAACTGCAGACGCAACCGGCATCAAAATTAGTGGCCCAGTCCCAAGAAGCTAGGATTTGTGAAGCTAAATGCATTGCTTTCACGTCCCACAATGCATGACAGTTGGTGATACTGTGCAAATATTTCGCGAAAGCTTGCTGTGTGGGCTGAAACGCACATCCGGTAGTGTCGAAATGCTACAAATTGTACGGCGAGGTCAACTGAGGTCATCGCAACCAAGTGGGTGCAGCGCACCACCAGCAGTGTTCCATTTTTGGAAATTTTGGGTGGAAAATCACACCTAATGGGTAAAATATTTTCATCCCCAAAACCAGGTAAATTGGAATTCTTTCATCTTTGAAAAATGCTCAACTCATGCTCAACAATTAACAGCCAGATTGCCAGATATACCTAGCAGCGCCATATAGACAGAACTTATAGGTTTGCTACATAATACATAATTTCCATGAAAAAAAGCGAAATCAAGGCACAAACCCAACAACTCACCCTGACTGACAACGAAAGAAAATAACCTTGCACACTTCCAGCTGTTAATAACAAATATGCGTTGAATGACCTTGATCACCTCAACTGTTTGTAAAAACCAGGCTTGTGTTCTGAATAAATGCTTTTGGATATTCATAACAACTATGATTAGTGGTTTGCTGCCAACGCAAAACGGATGAGCCGCTGCTTGCGCAAATTAAACACTACCTCTGCAATTCGCTTTTGACTAAGTTGCGCAGGATACGCCTACAAAATTTTCATCTTTGGACCCGCAGTCAGCTGGGCACACCCTGGCACACCCTAGGGATGAATTTAAAACTTGGTGGGCTCTAACTTCTTTCATATACAAAATAGGGGTATGAGACAGGTACCAACTTATTCTACATTCATTTCTGATCCTATTGTATCAATTTCACCACAAATTATGTCCGTCAATGGCTTCTAGAGGACTTTAAAGCTCGATGCGTCGGGCCTGGCAGAGGTCCAAGATGAGAAAAGCCACCCTGCGCACACCCTAGGGATGAATTTAAAACTCCGCGGGCTCTGGCTGGTTTCATAGGTAAAATAATGTTTTGAGACCGATGCCAATTTATTCTGCGCTTATTTCTGATCCTATCGCATTAATTTCGCCACAAATTATGTCCGTCAGTGGCTTCTAGAGGACTTTAAAGCTCGAGGCGTCGCGCCTGGTAGAGGTCCAAGATGAGACATAGACATAGACATGTATTTGCGACCCTTCCACATCCATGGTGGCTATTCCGAGACGCGCGTCAATAAGATAGAAACTTGATATACATAAAACACACCTGAGGTAAAATGAACACATTTACAATGCAGCAGGGTACTCACGAAAGGCGATTGTACCACACACACAAACTGTTCAACACCCGCTCTGACATTCGCCGGCAGCACCTAACCAGTGTCACGCAGCAGCCAGTCAGTCACTCGAGTCTTAAATCTGGTGATTCCCATTTCGCGAATGTCTTGCGGAAGTTTATTGTATGCATCAATGCCGCTGAAATATAGTCTGCGAGCACCTGCGTTTGTTTTCACACTCGGCCGCTGCAGCAGACCGCGTATCCTGGTGCTGTGCTGATGGTTACTTGTGACCAGGTGTTCAACGATGCCGACCGGGGCTCCAGTGGTGCGCACCCTATGTATGAGGCACATACGATGATACAGTATCAGCTGTTCGGCATTGAGCCACCCGAGCTGCTTGTACTTCGCCGAGATGTGATCGTACTTTCGTACGCCACATACTACCCGAGCACAGAAGTTCAGCAGTTTTTGAATCCTATGTCTCTGAGCCTGTCCGTAAGTGCCGTAAATAGATATGCAGTATCGTATATGAGATATGACCAGACACATCACAAGTAATTCGATGACATCGGGCGGCAGGCAGTGTTTAACATGGGACAAAGCGAGTAACATGCCAGTGCATTTTCTGACGAGCTGATCAATGTGAGAATCGAAAGTCAGATATCTGTCCATAACCAGTCCTAGATTTTTCGCTGTCCGGCACTCGGAGATAACTGACCCGCCGAAGTTGAGCCGAACTTCTGGAAAGTTTCGCAGCATAGCTTTTGTTCCAAAAACCATCAACTGTGTTTTGTCAGCGTTCACTTTCATAGAATGCGTCGAGAACCATGTCGATAACGCGTACAGGGTCTGCTCCATCCTACCAATCAGCGAATGAATGTCCTGCTTGCGGCCCGAGACTAAAACCTGTGTATCGTCCGCGTATTGAAAGATGGATGCTCCGTGAGAATGCAGAGCGAGGTCATTTGAAAACACTGAGAACAGCAGTGGGCCGAGCGATGTTCCCTGATAGACTCCTGTGGTAATGGGCAGGGAAGTTGAGAATTTAACATTCCCATCACAATCCCTCGTCTTAACCTGTTGGGTGTGTCCACGCAGGTAGTTCTCAAACCACGTAGTGTCGATGTTGTAAAGTCTGAGTTTCTCTAAAAGTACTCCATGATCGATCACGTCAAAACAGCGCGATAGGTCGATCAGGACAAGCAGCGAGACCTCGCCTGAGAAAAGCCACCCTGGGCACACCCTAGGGATGAATTTAAAACTCCGCGGGCTCTGGCTGGTTTCATAGGCAAAATAATGTTTTGAGACCGATACTAATTTATTCTGCGTTCTTTTCTGATCATATTATATCAATTTCACCACAAATTATTTACGTTATTAGTTTTTAGATGTCTTTAAAACTCGAGGCGTCGGGTCGGGCAGGGGTTCAAGATGACTGACACGCCACCCTGGCACACCCTAGGGATGAATATGAAACTCTGTGGACTCTGGCAGGTTTCATACGCGAAATGAGGTTATAAGACCGGTAATGATGTATTTTACGTTAATTTTTCATGCCTTTGCAATAATCTTACCGCCAATTATTCATTTCAATTAGTTTCTAAAGGTTTTTAAACACGAAGCGTTCGGCCGAGGGAAAGCCAAGATGAATGAAAGGATACCTTGGCACACCTCTAGGGATAAATTTAAGATACGGTATTCCCAGATCTGCCCAATACATGTTCTGAAGCTGGTAGATGGGATTAAGAAGGCCCTAGCTTTTTAATAAATTATCCCTCGCCCGTATAGGGGGGGGGGGGGTCGAACGAACCACCCCCTCGTTTTTTTCGAGAATAACTTGCGTAAAAAGCGGCCGATCGCGACGAAACTTTCAGGACCCTCGAGTCAATTAATTTGACACCTACTCTGAAAATCTCATATTCCTGACCCAAATGACCTTTGACGTGATAAGTAGTAGGCACAAAACGTCCTTGTAGTAGGCACAAAACGTCCCAGAGGCCAGAACACATGAGTTATACGGTTTCTGGTTTCATAGCGATCAGTTACGTCAACAAACTGCCCATCAGTGTATCATGATAACCTAAGATGACAGTGACAGTGTCACAATGATGACCACGCCTCACGCATTACACAGTCTGAGTCAACTGCACTAAATCAATAATACAGGACGACAGAATGATACCCTTTGCAACGGCAACGACAGGTTCCTTCCCACTTCCTTTGCTTAAAAAAGAAAGAAAACTTCTCCACATGGCACTAGTACCAAAGCCTGCATATATAGAGAGCTCCCTCACCCGCCCCTCCCCCACCCTCCTTAAGATATGACAACAGATTTCAACAGAATCATTGCATCTTCTGCTTCTTAAAGACCTAGTTCGCTCGCATGATGGCGACTGGCGTCGCGAGGATGGAGGTCCGCGGATGATCTTTAGGAGAAATATACAGGCAGAAGGACCGTCCTGGATCCGTGCCAGTAAGCATGAGTAGGAACTTAGCAGATGCTGACGGTAATATCTGCTGTCTGCATCTGAAACGGAAAGGAAGGCATTGATTTAAGGCTAGGAGAAGGATGGCCACTGGACAGTCATTCAATTGTGACAATGTATTTTGACTTGTGAGGAAAATGAAATCTCACTGGTTGAAGTAGGTATTCATTCTTAGCTGTATAAGAGACAAGGGTGATTCTTAACTTCATTAGTCTCAATCAAACACAAAGGTTGGGATAAAATGGGACGGATTTCGAAACACTTGGCGATCAGATGCTGAAGTTATAATTCTGCCGTATATCATCCTTACCTATTTGCATCGTCTTTTTCGGTTAGTTTTGGTGGTCAGGAATGGATTGTTCTTTTATTATCAGCCAGCGTAGCGTTACGCCTTTATTGCGAAAGTGATATAGGTTTTCACTTGTTTTTTTTTCTCATCCTAGATTTTTTGGTCATCATCGTCACACCCAAC